GCCTCCCAAGTGCTGGGATTAAAGGCATGTGCCACCACGCCTGGCTATCAGGTATTTTTTCTAAAAATATTTTACTTATTATTTTTATTTTATGTGTGTAAGTGTTTTGCCTGCATGTATGTAAGTGCACCTGTGTTGTGCAATGCCCATTGAGGCCAGAAAAGGGTGTCGGATCCCCTACAATTGGAGTTATTAGGCACCATGTGGTGCTGGGAATAGAACCCTGGTCCTCTGGAAGAACAGCAAGTGTTCTTAACCACTGAGCCATCTCTCCAGCTCCTTGTTAGGTATTTTGTCATAGCACTGACATAAGTAACCAATTCATGCTGGCATTATGGCTGGGCTACTGTTGGAAGTGGACATGGCCATAAGATGGTGGTGAGCCTAGAATGGAACCCATACCACAAGAATACAAAAAGGTGCATGGGAAATCATCCCATGCCTACTTTCACAGAACACGTCCACAGGGAACTCCTCAAGGTGGCCATTGCTGACTACTACAGACTTGAGAAATATTTTGATTCCTTCAAATCTTTAATTCAATGATTCAAGTTGATATTGAAGAAAATATGGAAAGGCTTGATTTACCAGAATGCTTGAAACTCAACACAGCAGTTTTTCTGGGAAATGGTGGCACATGCTTTTGATCTAGCTACTCAGAAGGATGAAGGAAAAGAATCACAAGTTCAAGGCCTGCCTGGACAGCTTAGTGAGACCCCATCTCAAAATAAAAAAAAAAGGGGGCTGTAGATATAACTCAGTGGTAGAGCAAAATTATGAGAGGTCATTGATGAAAATTTAACTTATTCATTAAGTATTCTCTAGTATGTTCATAATTATGCAGTCTCATATTGAGCATACATTAAGATTCAAACATTTTCTTATAGCCGCAAATTACTTAGAGCAGTCTATTATAGCTACACTGTTTTGCTTCAACTGTTAAATTAAACTCATCATTCTATAGTACTAATATTATTTTTTTATTTTTCCATGGGGGACAGCAGTGTATTTGAGAGCAAACAGACTGCTGGGCTGCCTCTTGGGGAGCAGAGAAACAGCAACCAGCAGGGGAAGTCAGACATCTTTTATGGGCAGTTAGGTGCTTGGGTAACTTTCCATGACATAGGCTGGGAAGTTTAGCTCAGGATTGGTTGGTCTCCCAATAAGGAGAGGGACTTTGCCTTTTTTCCATGGGGGACAGCAGTGTATTTGAGAGCAAACAGACTGCTGGGCTGCCTCTTGGGGAGCAGAGAAACAGCAACCAGCAGGGGAAGTCAGACATCTTTTATGGGCAGTTAGGTGCTTGGGTAACTTTCCATGACATAGGCTGGGCAGTTTAGCTCAGGATTGGTTGGTCTCCCAATAAGGAGAGGGACTTTGCCAGGGCTAAGCCCGGACCTGCCATTTTAGAATATTGAGATCAGTGCTGCCATTTTAGGAGTCTATAGTACTGCTATTATACACTTTAAAAAAAATCCAGATTCATGCTCAGTGGTAGAGTGCTTGCCTAACATGCGTAAAGCTCTGAATTCCATCCCTAGCACTGAACAACAACAACAAAATCAAGATTTTAAAAATGTATATGCTGATTTAAATGAACTAGTAGACAGATACTAATTCTCATTTAATTGTTTTTGGATTTATTTATTTTTATTTTATGTGTATGAGTGTTTTGTCTGCATGTATGTAAGTGTACCACAAGTGTGCAATGCCCACGGAGGCCAGAAGAGAACATTGGATCCTTTGAAACTGGAGTTAGCGTTGATTGTTAGCTACCATGTGGGTGCTGGGAACTGAACCTGGGCCTTCAGCCAGAGCAATAAGTGGTCTTAACCACTGAGTCATCTCTCCAGCCCAAGATATTAAGTCTTGTAATGAAAATAAAATATATATTAGTATGAGTAAAAGAAGTCACTAATTTGAGATGAGAACCATATTTCTTGTCATAAAATACCAGCATGCATTGTAAATGTATAGCATATGGTGCTAAATGGAAATGACATATAAAAGTAAACACACCATATAGGTTTTTAAAATAAGTTTAATCATTTATTATAAACCTAAGGAGGAACATCCAAACTGTGTTTTTGATGTTTTATGCATTGGTATATTATGGCAGACATGAAGACTTCTGTAACTTTCATTTTACATATTTCCCTCATGAGATCAACCATTGTACTGCTTCCATGTTGTGTAAAGCTCTCTCAGCTCGGTGTTGTGGTGCACACCTTTAATCCCAGCACTCGGGATGCAGAGACAGATGGATCTCTGAGTTCAAGGCCAGCCTGGTCTACATAGTGAGTTCCAGGACAGCTGGGGCTACAGGGAGACCCTGTCTCAAAAAGACCAAATAAATAAATAAATAAATAAAATAAAAATAAATGTTTATTTAGTTTTGTTTTTGCATGTGTTTTGCCTGCACGTATGTATGTACACTACTTGCATGTAGTGCCTGTGGAGTCCAGAAGAGGGTACTAGATCCCTTGGAACTGGAGTTACACATGGTGGTGAGCTGCCATGTGGGTGCTGGGAACTGAACCTAGGTCCTGGAACAGCAGCAAGTGCTCTTAACTGCTAAGCCCTCTCTCCAGCCCCCTGGTTGGTTTTTAAGACAGCAAAATGAATGTTTTATAAGAAAAAAATATGTGACGGGGGAGAATTCATCTCTGTTATACAGCTTCAGTAAAACTAGGAATAAAATCATCAGTTTAAATAAAGCTAATATGGATAAATATTATCTGGAAGCATAAGGGTTGGTTTGTTTGCTTACTTTCCAATCCCAGCAATCAACAGGTGATGGATGTTACTATGGGATCACCTTCATGTCTATTTTGTTCTTTCAAATGCCTCCAACGTCTGTTGTTGAGATTTCTGTCATCACAGAAGCATAAATTGTTAGTGATTCTCTTATCTAAATTCCTCATCAACTCCCTCAGAAAACTGAAACCCAAAGATGGTAAAGAACTAATCTGTGGTCACACAGCTAGATAGGGGAAAGTCAGAAATACAAATGAAGTCTCCTGACTTTTAGTCGGCAGATCTTTAATCATGTACACTGTGCAAGTGCAGCCCTCAGATCTCTTCTTGCAAAATTGGCAAACATAAAAAGAGGCATTATATCAAATGCATACTAGGGCTAGAGCCCAGGCAAAAACTGAAAAAATAAAATATTTGATCCATGTCTCTCAAATTAAGCTTCACTAGTACTTGTCTGGTTTTATAGTAAGTATTTTTGTGGTGCTTGGGGATTGAACCTATGATCTTGTGTATACCACTGAACTATACCTCAGCTCTGCACATGGATTAGTTTTTTTCTGTTTTTTTTTTTTTTTTTTTTGACACAGGGTGTCTCTATGTAGCCCAGCCTGGCCTTTACCTGGAGATTATTGACTAAGCCTCTCTAGAACTGAGTTTGCATATGCCTGTACCACTGCGTCCCACATGTGTGCCTTGTTTTAGTTACAAGAGGGAACATGGTTAACAGTTCTAGCCTCTGGAAACTCATCTTCCATGGATGCTTCCTTTGCCTTACCTCCTTGCTTCCCCAACCATACAAACAATGAAACTGCTAAGTATGATTGCAATATGAATCAGGATTGCTAAGTAGACAGTCAACTTGCCAGGAGGGTCCTGCTCCCCTAAGAGGTTGCAGGAAGCTGCCTCTGGCCACATCCTGGCACCACAGAGTCATCATTCTTCCTGAGATGAGAGCTGCTCCACTATGAAAATGGTCTACAGCTTTTAACTTATGTTCTTCATAGAATGCATGCACACACACACACACACACACACCCCTCATCTAATGAGAGATGTGTTTTTTTCTGCTTAAACGACTGAGAGCATACTAACCTAGATC